GGGAATGACATGCATTAGTAATGTTTTAATTCAAGATTTCGTAACTTTAATTAAATTCATTAGGAACATTATTTTGATTATTATCCTTAAATATTATCCTCTCGTATATAACACTGATTAACGCCCAAAAGTGATGTTCACAAGCGGTCAATTATAGCACAAAGGGCGGTCGTATCCACAGAGAGGTAACAAAATAAACAAGAAAGATTAGCAGAATCAGAGCGTTAGAGAAAAAAAAACAAGTAAATTAAAGAAAAAGAAAAGTTTGAGAGATTTTTGTTGCAAATAAAATAAAAAGGAGAAAATTTGTATGAAGAAAATTAAGTAGTAAAAAGGGTAAGGTGTCGAGAATCCCTAATGTTTCATTCACCAATTCAAGTTTTTGATTCACAAAATAAAATGATCGAATAAATTAAATCTCTATGTTGACTCCAAAAATATTATTATTACGAGTTATTAATCGACAATATATCAATTTGACAATATTACAGTAAAAGACAATTTGTGAAATAATTTGAATGACAAAATAGTGCATGACAGAATTACATAAAAAAAGCGTGACTGAACTTATATAAAAATTGGCACATAATATTTTGAAAAATAAATGAAAGATATATGAGATTTAATTCATTTAGATATTGAACATTACAGCATAAGGAATCAAAAGCCCGAATTGGGTCACTAATAAAAGTTCATCTCTAACATCACCAAGAGAACTCTAGCCTAGCTTACAAAACATTCTCACAAGTTCTAGAGAGAAAATATGAGAGTGACAGCAGGACGATAGAAAACTGAATATTAAAAGTTTACAAAAAACTTAGGCTAACCCTCTTATTTATAGTGTTCAGAGGTTGCCTGTCAAATAATGAAACAAATAATTAAAAAAAAATTACAAAAGAAAAGGAAACAAAATAAAATTACACATAAATTAGGAGAAATTAGATATATGATTTGAGGAGGAAATCTGATAATTTGCTCTGATTTTTGGGGAAGAAATTCGAACTCAGCACAAAAGAGGACACGTGTCGCATTACGATTGGAAGAAAGGGGGCAACTCACCACGTGTCGCGTTCAAAGTGGAAGACGCTGGCAGTTGGAGACAACTGGGACTGCTCAGACATCTGGCGTTCGTGGAGTGGGCGGACGGAGCTGGCATCGCAGGCGTGGGACCCACGGTGAAGAGAGCTTTGGACACGTTGGAGATCGCGCGGAAGAAGAATGCGCGCGCTGGGATGTTTGCGTGCTGGCCACATGTGAGATTACAAGAAGAAACGGGCACGGATTTCCGCACTCTGGTGGGGCCCACGGCACTGATGTTGGCTCGGCTAAGCTGCTCGACTCTCTCTCTCTCTCTCTCTTTAATTGGCTCGTGTGGCTTGGCTGAAAAGTTTGGCTCAGTTGGAGGATTTCTTTTATGGCTTCTTCTTATGTAGCTTTTTACACTCCTTTTCATTTGTAATAATTAAGCAAAATCTAGACAAATTTTAATTAAAAATATTATGAATAAAAATAATAGAATTGTCTAATTAAAGCTTAAATATTTTAATATTATATACGTCAAAAGCAGTATTTAGGATGCATTTTCATGCACTTATCAAACACTTATATACAATATTTAAGGTCACATATATAATTGCACAATTTTCAATGATATTCATAAAATACTCAATAATACATGTACATAAATAGTGAATAAACTATTTTATTAATTAAATAATAAATATCCTTATTACATCTCATGTTTTAAAGACACTATTCCTAACACTATTCATTAGAGAATTAATGATACTCAATGATAAAAATGTAAGTAGAAGGATGAACGGATTTCACTAAACACTAATTATGAAATATTTATGAATGATCGATCTATATGAAGTGGTCATATCAAATGAACGTTTAACATATATAAATAAATGTGTAGAATATTGAGAGTGCAATTCTAAATTTATAATGGAATAACTTTGGAATTAATAAATAATTAAATAATTCAAGAGTTTGATTAATTATTAGTTTTATTATAGCTTAATATTATAGATTTATAAATCCTCACATCATCATTGTAATTTCTAAAAAACACTAAGAATATAATTGAAAATTTAGAAATATGGACTCCTATATTAAGTTAGTTAATAATAATTAATTGTGAATTAATTAGATATTAAATTTTGTGATTATTTTATAAGTAATTTGGAATACACATGTAGAGGGAACACACATGTGGTGTACACGCCCAATATAGGAGGAATCTCAAAAGATTTAGTTGTTTGCACTTTAAGTTATCCAATTTATTTGTTAGACAAATTATGCCCTTGGAATTCAAATAAGTTTGAAATTTGACTTTGAATATGTATTTAAATTTAAATCAAAATTGGACAACAAGATAAAGATAGAATTTTATCCTCTACCTAGAGCACCAGTTGGCACCACACAATGTGTCAGACCTAGTATTGACTGAATTTCATAAGTAGTGGGAGAGAGAAATTGTTTCAAAGTTAAATGTGAATTTTACCTTGATTTAATTGTAGAACATAATTTTGACTCTAAAATGTCTAGTTTGGGCAAATTTTACTAGAGTAAAAAAGAGAAGAAAATTTCGTCTATTCTGAACTCCACCTCGTAGATGTTTTGATGTTGGTGGAAGATATATTAGTTGAGTGACCATTCCCTTTTTATTCCAAGTTGTTCCCACACACAAGCTTCGTGGAATCAAGGTGTAGACGAGAAAGGTTCAAGGTGATATAAGGAACATGAGCATTGGATTATTCGTGGTTAAAGACTCAAGTTATCATTCTAAGCGGTCGCTAGGTAAAATAATTAATTAGAATAATTTTTTGTGGTCAAACACTCAAGTTATTCAGCAAAAAATTACAAAAATTCTTCCCGAATTATCTGCCTTATAACGCTTTGTTTATTGATATTCAAAACTTACTATCTGTTCACTCTAAGCAATGAAGTGTTTACACAAAGCCCCATCCATTAAATATTTAACGGAAATTAAAATTTAATTAGTTATTTTAGAAGTATTTTGATAACTCTATAGTTTAAAATTTAATCTGAATTTAATTTAACTTTTATTTATGTAACATTCATTAAATTGAATGTAAGTTACAAATTTGCAAGTGTATGTATGTTGTTTTATGCCCTAACATCTCAGTAAACTTTTTTTTTTTTTTTTTTTTTTGAAATTCTCAGCCATCTCCATGTGTGTTTACGTAGTTTATGGTAGCTTTTGTTTCAGTTGTTTAATTTTCTAATTTTAAGAAAAGATTGTCCGAGTACGGCTTGGTTTATGCCCGTTACGTGTTTGTTAAAATGCTTATGTGGTGAAAATAAGCATTTTAACATGGCTACTTTCTTGACTGGAATCTGTTTTAGTGGGCATTTCCATCGAAACGTTCTGGTTCAGTTTTGCATTTGATTTGTGAGTCTTGGCTTTTTGATGGAGGAAAATTAATAAATTATAGTCTTGGCTTGGACCATGGGTTGAAGGATGCAAATGTAAACATAAGAAGTAATAAACGGAAGGGATTATCTCTTTTACAAAGAAAATATAATTTAGCAGCTTCTTTTACTAAACTCTTAAAGAGTAACATAATGAAATATTGTTCTTCGAATTTCAAAATATCTGGTAGTAGACAGAGCTTGAAGTTTGGTTTGTTATTATTGTTCTATAAATGTTATTTGATTCTTGAAACAAGAAAGGATATAACTTTACTACCAGTTATGAACACGACATGAAAAGTAAATTAAGAAAACAGAGGGGAAATTAACTAAATACGTAACTTTTTGGCTGCTAGGAAAGTTCTTTTTTACAATTTTTCTATACTATCCCAATTGATTGTGTCCTAAGTCTGCATTCTAGTTAGTAATGTATCTGCATTCCACCAAGTGAACCTTTGTAACAACTGCTTCACTTTTGTTTTTCTTACTGATCCGCACTAACAAGCATTTAAATTCTCTTGGACATTTTTTGTTTTGTTTTTGTTTTTTGTTTTTTGTTTTTTTAGTTTCTTTCCTTCTTGGAAATATGGAAAACATGGAAGTCTGAGTGAGAACTTTCACCCACTACGATTATCAATGCATAATGCTTAACATGATTGACATTGTTTGTGTAATACATGAAAGTGATTTAACACCTTGCTCTTTGGGGAGTCTATTGGTTTTGTTGGAGCTAAAGGCCTTCTGCTCGGTGTCCTATGAATTTCGCTTCTTGAGTAAACTTAGCAATGGTTTTGTCATCAAGTTTATGGAATGTTGGTTTTTCATAAGTTAACGACTTTGGTTCCAAGGTTGGTTCCGTTGGTACACCATTTTGTATGATTTGGTAGTTTAGCTCATTAAAATTAACTCTCATGATTGCTATTTTCTGATGAAACTCGTATCTTGAGTTGCTGTGCTTTATTATATTTAACTCTGTACACTTTCTGAACGTGTAATTCATCGAATACGAACTTTGCTTCTTTCCTAAGTCAGGTGCTTCATCCAACTTCAGGTTGTCCATCTTCTCTGTTTCGCATCATTTTTGAAGTTAGTGCTTATTATGTTTATGATCTTCCTTTCTATTCTTGTTTCAGTTTAATGAACTCTCAAGCTTGCTTTTTATTGTGTTTATGATTTACTTACCTCGTAAACCTTTAATAGACACTGAGAATATGCCAATTGGATTTCAGAGCACATGCAAGAAATAATATTTTTAATTTTTTTTAACTTTTTGGCAAGCTAACTGTAGTTTTAATTTGCGACATGTACTTTATGAAAAAAAGAAAGAAAGAAAAAAAAAGGGAGATTTAAATTATGTAGTTTATCTCATGAATGAAATATTCACGTTTACAACTTTACAAAACAAGCTAAATTTTACTTTTATTGTATATCATTTAAAAGATGTGGTGCTTCTTTGTGAGTTGCAGGGTCATCTCATTTGGAGAATGTGGTTGTGTGAAACATGGATGGATGGACCATAATTAATGATCTCCTCTGGGAATGGGTGGCTGATGGCTGGATTTATGGAAAGATGCCCAAATTTGAAGACATTGGTCATTTATTGGGTTGTTTTAGAGGCAAAACCCATGAAGAATGTTAAATCTTGACCAACTTCACGCATGGCTTTGAGTCTTTCTCTCATCAAAGAAATCCGTTACCCTTCTTCCATTTTAACTTACCTGTTTTTCCCACTCTCCAATTTCAGACCGTTATTTTCACGAACCTTAACATCCTTTGAATTTCCAGCGTTCCTATTCTCCTCTATCAATCAATATTCTTCTTCACCTCTCCACATATACCCTTCTTGCAACCATGGAAGGCTCTACTATTGCTACGGAGACATCTCATTCTATGCATATCTCCTTGGTAGTTCGACCCACAAAAAGCATCTGGATCAAATCCATGCTCAGTTGCTCATCTCGGGTCTGCAACAAAACGGTTTCTTGATTACGAAATTGGTGAATGTAAGCTCGGATATCGGATGCAATTTTTATGCCCGCAAGTTGTTCGATGAATTTACTGACCCTGATGTGTTTTTGTGGAATGCAATTGTTAGAGGTTATTCGAAACACAATATGTTTGGAGATGCTCTTGAAATGTACTCTAGGATGCAAGCAATGGGGGTTAGCCCGGATGCTTTTACTTTTCCGCACGTGCTCAAAGCTTGCAGTGGATTACAGGCACTTGAATTTGGTCGCCGGGTACATGGGCAGACATTCAGATATCGGTCTGCTTGTGATGCGTTTGTGCAAAACAGTCTTGTGGCGTTTTATGCGAAATGTTGTCAAATAGGTCGTGCTAGGATGGTGTTTGAAAGGTTATGTGACAGGTCGATTGTTTCATGGACTTCTATAATTTCTGGCTACGCGCAGAATGGGGAGCCTATGGAGGCTTTGAGAATTTTCAGTCAGATGAGACGATCAAACGTCAAGATAGATTGGATTGCACTTGTAAGTGTTCTTAGGGCTTACACTGATGTAGAAGATTTGGAACAAGGGAAGGCTATCCATGGTTGTTTAATTAAGTTGGGTCTTGAATCTGAAACTGACTTGCTCATTTCGCTCACAGCCATGTATGCAAAAGGTGGGCAAGTCACGGTTGCCAGGTCGTTTTTTGATCAGATGGAAGAACCGGGTTTAATATTGTGTAACGCCATGATTTCTGGTTATGCAAAAAATGGTCACGCCGACGAAGCTGTGGAGCTATTCCGAAAGATGATAGCTAAGAACATAAGAACAGATTCCATCACTTTGAGATCTGCTATTTTGGGTGTTGCCCAAGTGGGTTCTCTAGAACTCGCAAAATGGATTGATGATTATGTGAGTAGGACAGAGTATAAAACTGATATTTTTGTTAACACAGCCCTAATTGATATGTATGCCAAGTGTGGAGACATTGATTTTGCTCGTGAAGTGTTTGATAGAACACCTGATAAAGATGTTTTTGTCTGGAGTGCAATGATTGTTGGCTATGGACTGCATGGCCGAGGACGAGAAGCAATTGATACTTACTACGCTATGGAGCAAGCTGGAGTTCTTCCTAATGATGTCACCTTCCTTGCGGTTCTCACAGCCTGCAACCACTCGGGGCTTGTGGAAGAAGGATGGAAGCTTTTCCACTGCATGAAAGACTACGCTATTGAGCCCCAAAACCAGCATTATTCTTGTGTTGTTGATCTACTTGGACGTGCAGGCTACGTGGAAAAAGCTTATCATTTCATCATGAAGATGCCAATCGAACCCGGTGCAAGTGTATGGGGAGCGATTCTGAATGCGTGCATGATTCACCGCCATGTGAAAATTGGAGAATATGCTGCAGAGAAGCTTTTTTCCTTAGACCGGTCTAACACTGGGTACTACGTGCAACTTTCAAATATATATGCCTCAGCTCGTATGTGGGATTGTGTTGCAAAGACACGAGCAGTGATGAAGAGGAAAGGGCTAAGTAAGGATCTTGGCTATAGTGCAATTGAGATCAATGGAAAGCTACAAGGATTTCGTGTGGGAGATAAATCGCACCCGAGGTCTCGGAAGATTTTTGAGGAGCTTGAGAATCTAGAGAGGGGGTTGAAGGAGGCAGGATTCGTGCCACATACTGAGTCCGTTCTACATGACTTGAACTATGAAGAAAAGGAGGAGACCCTTTGTAATCATAGTGAGAGGATAGCCATTGCTTATGGCCTTATTAGTACTGCTCCAGGTACAACACTCAGAATAACCAAAAATCTTAGGGCATGTGTGAATTGTCATTCAGCAACTAAGCTTATTTCCAGGCTTGTCAATAGAGAGATAGTCGTTAGAGATGCTAATCGTTTCCATCATTTCAAGGATGGATTTTGTTCTTGTGGAGATTATTGGTGAGATGGAAGTATAATCATTCCAATATAAATATGTAGTATTATTTTCCGTACATTGCCAAAAACATTATTTGGTTACAAGGGATACAACTTGTAAAGAGAAATAGTGAGTTTTTTTTTTATTATTTTTCTTTTTGGAGGAAGAGAACTACAGAAAATGAAAATTCAGAAGTCAAACAAATCTCAACAAAAACATTTTGTAGTGAGAATAATCGGACTGGCTTGTGACTAATATGTTTGCCAACGTTATGATCGGCGAGAAAAGTTGGGTAAACCTGATCATTATAGTGAAAAGAATTACCAAGAAGAGTCTTAAGTTGATTATTAATTTTCTTGGTCGACACAAAATGATACTATAGAAGAAGGATAACATATGGTGCCTCTAAGCGCCTTTATTTAAATGCACAGCGGCAACAACAGTAATAGGCTAATAGTGGTGGTATTGATAATATATAGTAGTAATAGTAGTGGTAATAGAAATAGAATATTAGTGATGATGACAGTGTTATTGATTTTTTTTAAGTGACGTTTGGATCATGGATTCAGAACCATAGCTCATGATTTTGATTTTTTAAATTTAAATTTTTTGTGAGTGAAAAATACTGTAACGAACTAAGAACCATGATACAGAACCAGAACATAACTCTCAAAACAAACGGAGTATTAGTGATTGAGCAATGAGAAAAAAAATATTATATATATACATGCTATTTTTTACTTCTAAAATCTTGGGATATGATCGCTAACGCGATTACTTTAGTTGTATCAATAATGCTCGTTTCACTAATAATAAATACAATATATATTTTTTTGAAAATAGTGAATATTGAGTATGTTTGTTTCACAACTCAATTAAGAACTTGAGTTGTGTATGTGAAAGAAAAACACTGTACTAAGAAAGTTGAATTTGATTTTTGTGGGAGGAAACACTGTAAGAATATAAATTGAGTTGTTACTTGAGTTGTCATGTTCACATCATGTTTACTCTCAATTTGAGAATGTTTATTGACATAGGTCAACACAATATTATGTATATATAATTTTTTTTAAGTTTAGAATTTGAGTTTTGTTATTGTAAAAAGTTATCAGAAAACGTAATATCTAACTTTTTTGTTACAATTTAAGGCCCCGTTCACTTCACTAATTCGAGTTTAGAATTCGAGTTTTGCTACAGTAAAAAGCTCTCACAAATAATCACATCTAGCTTTTTTACTACAGTAAAAAGCTCTCACATAAAATCACATCTCAACTCGAATTATAAACTCGAATTAGCGAAGTGAACGGGCCCTAAGTCACATCTTAACTCAAATCAGCGAACTATACTTACTGTAAATAGATTATGGCGAGTAAAAGATTGGCATTATTGTTTTTTACAGTTTTTCTTACGCTTTTCTCATTATTATTATTATTATTATTATTTTGCGTAAAAAGCAAAATAAATTTATCAAGCACTCGTCCGTTTGGTTGGAGGATTCGTTTCCTGATTCGAATCATGGTTCATAGTTCGCTACAGTATTTTCTCTCACAACAAACACACGTAAATAAAAAATGATTCTAATCCCATGATTTTAATTCATAAACCAAACGGGCTCATTTGATTATTTATCAATTTATATGAAACTCTTGTTCCCCTTAAGAATCTTGGAAGTTTGGAGGTGCAAACGGGTTTCAACAAGAACTAGTTGAAAATTTGAAATCACGTCGCACGTGAGAATCCCTGGTAAATGTTGTACTTTTTCTATTCCCTTCACTGGTTGATTGACAAGTTCACTGGCATCATGATCTGGAGCAGTATATGTAATTGATGCCACTAGACCTGGTGCTCGTTGTAAAGGCTACGAACCTTACAACGGGATATAACTTTGTTGGAATTGATTCTGATCGAGATAGTGATGGATGATCCGGCCCCTGCCTGACGGCAGCGTGATCCGCTTGACCGAAGCAAAACCAAAGCCCTCCTCTCCACCCATGGCGGCGGAACCAAGCCTCCTCCGACGGTGACTGATGCGAACACATACTTCGCAGTGATCTGCTTCTCCCTCGCCGCACCGTTCTCTCTATTGCATGATGAAATCCTCTGTTCCCCGCCGACGTGAGTTCTTCTGGCTCCATCCCTGATTTCCCCCTCTATTCTGGGTTCTTTGGTTTCAACTTGCAATAGAAAGCTTCTAATTAGCCAAAAAAAAAAAAAAAAATTGTGGATTCGAGCTCCACGATTGGTGATGCAGATCACATTTAGGAAATAAATCCGCGTCTAATAGCTAGGGCAACTACTAATAATTCAATTGGGTATATGATTTTGGCGTACATTAAAATTTACGAACTACAACTTGCATGCAATCACGTATCCTACTTGGAGTAGGAGTTGGAGATATATGCGATTCGGTTAAGTTCATGTCACTGAATTTATTTATTTATTTATTATTGATCAATGTTTTTTGAAAATTTTAAATATCTAAGTAATGATAATCTGAATACGTTAGAAGTAAACAATTATTAGCCATTCTGATGTGCCCAAGTAGCTAGCTCGGAGAAACCCGAACTATCATTCTCTTTCAAAAAGAGAAAAAGCTCTCCTCCTTTGATGAGATCCTTGGCATAATTTCATTAAATATATAAATATCGTTGATACTTGATAAATAAACATTCCTTCAGAGCATGACAAAAAAGCATTCCTTCAAGCGCCGACGTTTCAGGTCTCTCTTAAAAGAAAAGGAGAAAAGAAATATTAAAAAAAAAAAACAAACAAACGCACGCGCATACACGTACACAAAAAAGTTGACAAGAAAAAGGGCAACAATTTGTACACTTGGAAAGTCTTACTAGACAATCTCATATGTTCGTTTCAAAGCGAGGAGTCAAAATTTAGGTGACGTTTGGTAAGAAGATCTGTACTCTGATTTGAATAATAATTTATAATTCGTTACGGTATTTTATCTCATAAAAAATATACGTAAATCAAAAATAATTATAATCTCATGATTCTAATTCATAAACTAAAAGTTTTCTTGTATTCTTAAATAGATAGAGTGGCGATGGTAAGAAGTAGTCACAACCCTGGAATGAAAGGTTGAATATGGAGCGGTGGAGAGTGGAAGTGGAAGAATTGGAAGGCAGAAGTGTTGTCTTATAGGCCTGGTTACTTCTATTTCAAACGGGGATATGATGCAGACATTATATATAATATATTCAAATATATATATAATTCTCAAACAGTGTGCATGTAATCACGTATAGGACTAGGAGTCTAGGAGATATGTGCGGCTAGGCTAGTAACGTTGTGGGAAACGTTTAGGAGAGTTTAATTCATATCACTGTTTTGTTACTTTTTCAGTTCTAGGTCATAATTTTTGTAAATAATACTCTGAATAAGTCATAACTAATTAATTAGTGGCCATTCTCATATGACCTTTAATTTTATCTGCATGAACTTGAAAGAAGCCTAAACTGAGCTCTTTTTTTATTTGTTTTCTTTATCTTACTTTTTCTTTTTAAAGAATTCCTTTCAAGTTAAAATATTAAAAACATAACGACAATGTCTTTTGATTTTAATGTCGCTTTCATTTCAGAGATTTGACATGATGTCATTTTATTTCTTAATTACAAGAATATAGATGTTTTGCGACCAAAAAATTAGTCGCAAAAATATGGAATTTGGTCATCAGAAACCAAAATATTTTGGTCACATTTGGTCGCAAAAACTCAGTCGCAGAAAGTTTTTGTGGCTAAATGTTATTTGGTCGCAAATTGTTTCGCTACCAAATTTGACAGTAGGAATTGTGACCATTTTTTTTATTGCAAAAAGATTTTGGTAACTAAAACTGATGTTTTATTGCGACAAAAATTTAGTTGTCAAAAATATACAATTTGGTCACAAGTAATTCGGTGACCAAAGATTTGGTTTCAAACACGAAGGACACGTTTACTTTGAAAGGAAAATGGGAAGTAAGGAGTGGTTTACTTTCTCATCTAATAATGTATTTATTTACAAAATTAGTAATTGAGATTTAGTAGGCCCCATATAATATGGGTAATGAGGAAAATGAATACCAATTTTTGCAACATCTTTAGTATTGATTCCTTGTTCAAGGGAATGAATGCTAAATTAATTTATTTAACCTTAATGAATTACTATATAATCAATGATTATTTAATTGTGTAAAAGCACATTTTGGTTATTACATTCATAATATTACTATTCTAAATTTTACTAAACATAAGAAAGAGAATAGAGATGTTTCTCATTACACCATATAATAATCAAATAAACACAAGAAAAGTGTAATGACTGAGAAAATTCTAGACTTTAAATAATATAATTTATTTATTTAAGCTAAGAATTTTCCTAGAAAATATTATGTTATATTGTGAATGAAGGATTTATAGAATTAATATCTGTATTTCTAAATTCTGTAGTAGATTTCATGTTAAGTTCATATTCTTGATCTTGTAAATTCGATCGATAAATTCTCACCGTACTGTAAGGCAGAATAATTTTCAGTACAAGTATAGTTTGAGAATCTTAATATCAAGAATCTCCAAGCACAACCCGATGTTAGCAGCGTATAAAAAAATGCACTGACATTTTAAAAGAAGAGAAAATCCTTAATTGCCAAACAGCTAGGTTAAAGTCACAAGATAAATACCCATAGTAGAAGGGTACAATGTGAGCTCGGGAGTTGACACCGTCAGAAACAACGTCATTCCCGGGATTTAATGCAGAAAAGTTAAATTTATAATTTGTTCAGTCTAGAAATAATTTCAAGACTTGAAACAGTTCAAGATATTATACGAGTGAGAATTTAATGTGATCTCAAAGCAGTCGAGGATTTAACAGTTGAACTATAAATAAGCAGTAGAAAAGGAACCGTCAGAAATGGAAACGAATTCCTGTCAGCTAAAGTTGTGTCCCTACCATCAGGTGTCCTTGGCCCGACGTCGCAATGAGAAGTTAAGTCCACGTTTCTATGGTCCCTTTGCTATCACTGCCCGAGTTGGTCCTGT